TGTAAAATTAAGAAGTTTCTACATAAACAAAATAAAAAATAGATGAGAACTTAAGCAGAGTTTTTGTTGTTTGGTTGTTTCAGTTGCGTCTGACTCTTCATGACGCCATTTGGGGTTTTCTTGGCAAAGATACTTGCTAATTCCTTCTCCAGCTTATTTTATAGATGGGGAAATTGAGGCAAACAGGGTGAAGTGACTTGCCCAGGGACACCCAGCTAGGAAGTGTTTGAGGCCAGAGTTTTCCTGACTTCAGGCCCAGCACTCTATCCACTGTGGCAACCTAGCTGCCCCAGAAGAGAAACTGTCAAGAGGGGGGAAAATGTAATTTTTACCAAGAAAGGTGTCCTATCTAATATAAAGAAAGAGGTGAAACAAATAACTTAACACCAAGAGCCATTCCCCAACTGAGAAGTGGTTAAAGGAAGTGAACAGTTCTCAAGACCGCAAACTGTCAATGACCATTTGAAAACACACCTGGAAATCACTCATAATGAAGAGAAATGGGAATGAACAGGACTCAGACTTCGCCTCACACCACACAAGACAGCAGAGAGAACAAAAACCATCCATCATCAAGGTTGGAGGGGCTGTGGAAAGCTAGGCAAACCTAGCACACAGCAGGAGCTCAAGACATACAGCTAAAGAATAGCCATGAATTAGCTCTATTCCTCTGGAAGCCAGCTTGGTACTATGGCAAGTAAAGCGACTGAACTGTCCGTGTCTTTGGACTGAGCGATCCCACTCCTGGGCACGGAGCCCAAGGAAGTCAAAGACAGAAACAGGTCGTCATCCCATCCCCCCTCCACATACACATACAATTCACAGCAGCATTCTATTAGAGAGGACATGTAGGAAAACCCCTGGATCTGGGTTCAAATCCCAGGTCTACTATTCACTGCTCATGTGACAACCTCTGTGGGCCTCAGTTTCCTTCTCCAGAAAAGGAAGGTGTTGGCCCAGATAACCTAGGAGACCTCTTCCGGGTCTAGAGTCTCACTCCTAATGGTAGAGAGGTGACTGCAAGGGCAGAATGTACTCACTGGACACGACGGCTTTGCCGAATTACTTTTCTTTATTGTAAAGACAAGTTCAGGGTGAGGAAGGGGAAGGTCAAGGCACCCCGAAATGACCACAACAGAAAAGCAAAAGACAACAATTAAAAAAAAATTTGGTTCAAATGTCAATTTGTCTGTGAAACCTCGCCTGATGGCCTTCAGTCTCTCCTACGTCACAGAATGTTGTTTCAGACCTAACTCATTCACTTACTGGGTAACACCGTGCAGTAGAGCCAACTGGAGAGGAAGGAAGCCAGAGACCCCACTTTAGCTAACCCTTCGTCTCTGCAATGATTAAGCAGAGAGCTCTGTGCCTGGAAACTTAATAAACATCTGCCCAACGAAATGGTTGGTTGCATTTGCCTTCTCTTTTTCCTAATGTCCCTTCTACTCTCTCCCACTTTCCCGTCTTCCTTTCTTCTCCCTCCCCTGTGTACGGGATCTACCCACAGATGCCAAGGGTCCCTTTATTGGTATTCAGGTGGATTCCCATCCCAGAGGGGAACCCTGATGTTACCTCAGGTAAAGACCATACAAACAAAAATCATTAGGCTGTGTTCCAGCCCCACCCCCTCTTCCAGAAATGCCTATTGGACATTTCACAAGCCAACTAAAGTATTCTGAATTAAGTATCCGTTTTTAAAAACTCTCAATTATGGATTCTAAACAAATGTACTAGTCATTGTAGAAGTATCTGCTGCAGCCTTTCCACATGATGGCGGTGGGGGACATGCCAGCCGTGGCCCCAACTTGGGCCACTCCCCATCCTGCACTGAAGAGGGGCCACACAGGTAACTGACTAGGCAGCACAGAAGGTGAGGTGGGCAGCTGCATGGAGGGCCCCATGAAGGGTGGCGGCCTTCTCAGGAGCACCAGACACCTCCCAAAGACCTTCAGTAATGGCTTAGGGAGCCCAGTTGGGACCTCTCACAACTCAGAATGTCTGGAAGCACGTATGCTGTGTGACTGGGGTTGGCTGTCAGCTGTCTTAACCAAGAATCTTGGAGCAGAACCACAAAGAGAGGACCGCAATCCCTCTACCCCCAAAGTCTGGTCACCAAATCTCTGACACTTGGGATTGCCCCCATATTGGGGGGGCTTCCATGTGAATCCAGGGCTCATCTCCTCCCAAACAAATATCTCCTTCTCTTATTTTGACATAAAACACAGAAGAAGAGGGTGAGGAAAACATCCTTCCACATTTCATCACGACAGAAAAGGATGGTGTTTCCACAGGTGCACCAAGTGCTGGCCCAGTAGCCTCCTGGCATTCGCAGATGGCTACGAACTGCTACCATTTCCAGTCCGCTCGCTGAGCACCATTATCCTTCTCAATGTCTTCCATTCCTTGATGAGACCTTCCCAAACGTCACCCGTACCCTATGACAGTTTCCCATTTTGAACCCCCTCTTCTAAACAGCTGCTAACAAGCTTGGATGTGGGGTATGTGAGGGAGATTTGGGGCTTTAAAATCATACAAGGCCACAGGGGGAGGCCCAAAAGGGACCCAGCACTAAATAACTGAGGACGTCACGTGTGGCCCAGAGAGTGTGAGGGACTTGCTCAGGGCAGCACGGGTAGGAAGAAGCCAAGATTTCGGCCCAGATGCTGCATCATACCAGCGGCCCGGGGACTCTGCGAGTGACTACAAGTCTGACCCTGGGAGGTCAAGTAGCAAGTATTTATTAAGCACTATGTGCCAGGCACTGCGCCAGAGGATACAATGACAAAAAGGGAGGCAGTCCTCCCTACCCTCTGAGAGCTTGTGAGAGGACACACAACATTCACAGACAAGTGACCAGATGGGAGAGTCAGGACAGCTTTCCTGGAGGGGAAGCGCCAGGCCTGTCCAGGAGGTGGTAGAATGGTATGTACGACAAACAGCAAGTGCATCAGGTGGGCCACAGCCTCAGGACCCTGAGAGGAAGTTAACAGGGTTTTAAATGCCAAACAGGAGGCTGTCCTTTGTCCTCGAGGCAAGAGGGAGCCACCGAACTTTCTGGAACAGTCCAGTCACTGTCAGACCTTCCAAACCCGGAAGATCTCTTTCACAGCTGTGAGGAACAGGGACTGGAAGGGTGAGGAGCCTCACCCAGCAAGGAGGCGAGAGGTGAGTGATTAGGACCGTGGCATGAGGACAGAGAAGAGACCCCTGAGGTCACTGAGGCCAGCCCTTTCATTTTACAGATGAAGAAACCGAGACCCAAAGAGGGTAAAGGATTTGACCAGGGATTTGACAAGAGTTGGGTGCAGGATTTGAACCCAAGACTTCCTGACTCCAAGCCAAACCCAACATACACTGCGCCACAGACATGCCACCTGACTGGACACCAGGAAGGGAGACACAGTGACGAACCGCGGATGACTCCAAAGGACCTGGGTGACTCGGGACTGAGAGGAACAGGACAAAGCGAGTTCCACTTTGCAGCGGATTTGAGATGCCTGTGGAATACCGGAGCAGAGATGTCCGGCATGCAGCTGGACGAGGGCGACTAGAGACCTCCGAGATGAGGCTGCATGTAGATCTGGGAGCCAGGCACCTGCAGGGACACTAACTGGGCAAACCCTTTAAGCTTTTCACCTCCATGAGCAGTGGACTAGGGGGCCTTTCAAAGTCTCTCTCAACACCAAAGCTAGGGAGAGTCAATCTTGCCAGGAGACCCTCACAAAGTTACGAGCTCCCGAAGAGCCCTGGGCCAGGAGGCAAGTTGTTTTTTACGGCTCCCCCATTAGAACGGAAGCTCTTTGAGGGCAAGGAGCTGCTTGTGCCCATCTTTGCCTCCCCAGTACTTTGTCCGATACCCGCCCGGAGCAGGCACTTAACCCATGCACGTGGACTGACTTTTCTTCTGGTCAGAACCTGTCATTTACAGAAAAGCTCCCTCCACCAATGACCACTTAGAGCCCTATGAGGTGCCAAGGAGATGAAGAGTTAACAGACGGGGTCGGGGACTGGGCCAGGGTCACTAGGCCAGGATGGGTGAATAAAACAGAGAGTGCGGGGACCTCTGGGGCCAATATCCCCCCTTCAGAGTTGAGGAAGCTGCGCCAGGCTTCGGGGTGAGGGGCAGATAAGAAGGAAGAAACCGAGAGGAAAAAGGAAAAGTCGGGAAAGAAGGAATAAGGAAAAGGAAGGGGAGGGAGGAGAAAGAGGAGGGAAAGAAAGGTAAGAAAGGTGAATTGGGAAGGGGGGAGGGGGATGGGATGGGGGAGGATGGAGAACGGGGTGGGGGAGGGGCGTCGCATCGCTTCCTCCCCCTCCTCTTCCCAACCTCCCCTTCCTCGAGGTCATTTCCCAGCTCCAACAGCCCAGACCCCAGGGCCCTCCCCGCACCCTCCTGCCCAGCCCGGGGGAGGGGGCAGGAATTCACCGCCCCCCCAACCCACTAGCACGCACACCTGCCAGCGCGTGACTCCCGCGGGAGCCGCGCACTGCTGCCCTCCCTCCTCCTGCCGCGCGTGCCCAAGACGGATCCTCCACAGCGAGGCTCCCGCTGCGCTCGCGCATCTCCCCTCCTCCCCACCACCCGCCGAGCGCGAGCCTGCTCCTGCGCGCGCACGCAGTCCCTGGCCCCTCCCCCACAGGCGCGCACGCGCACAGCGCCGCGCGTCTAACCTTCCCCTCCCCTCCCCCTTCCTCCGTTGTCGCCACCGCCTCCTGCCTGCTCGCCCCCGCCCCTCCCCCCGCCACACACCCCTCCCCAAACCGCCCCCTTCCCGGCCGGCAGGAGGCGCGAGCCCGGGCCTCCCGGCACGGGCCTCCCCTACTGCACTGGCGCGCGCTCGGCAACCCCCCCCATCCCCGCCCCCGCCCCGACCCCTAGCCCGCCCCCGCGGCACGCCCCCGCTGCCACCGCCCCTTAGCGCTCCGGGCTCCGGGCTGGGCCGCTCTAGGCTCCGGGGCCTAGGCGGCGACGGGGCCGGGGGCGGCCCTCGCTCACTCACCGCTGAGCCGGCGGCGGCGGCGCGCTGAGCTGAGTCCCCGCCGGCCGAGGAGACGGCGTGGGAGGCGCGGCCCGAGGGGGCGGGGGCGACTCCCTCCCGCTTCACCTCCGCGAGCGCCGCGGACCCAGAAACTCAAAACAAAATAAACAAACTTTCCCCCTCCGCCTCCCTCCCCCCGCCCCGGTCACAACACAAACAGCCGGGGGCCCGCCTCCTCGAGCAAGCCATTGGCCACGCGCCGCCACCGCCCTCCTCCCACTGGCCCAGTGCGACTGCCCGTCAAGCCCTCGGCCCGCCCCTCCACTCCTCGCCGCCGTCGCTGACTCTCATTGGCCGGGACCTTCCCGTCGAGCGAGCTGAGATTGGCTGGCACGCCTGCGCCAATCACGGGGCCACGCCCCCGACCCAACCGAGGCCGCTTCTTCGATCGCGTACTGAGGTGAAGGGGAAAACTAGAACATGATGGCGGACGGGCCCGTTCTGTCGCAACCACCACGGGAAGGGGTGGGGGAGGGTTGTGGCAGCTTGAAGCCTCCTTCTCGCGCTGCGCCCTCACCAGCACCCTTCCCTTCGTTCAGCACCGTCTAATTAACCGAATCCACCTATGCCCGTTCCCTTATTTACCGCTCTGAAGAGATGGGGGGGGGTGGGGGGGGGGGGGGGGGGGAGATAGGATGGCCCTCATTGGTCTGGGCAGATGTCACTCTCCGAGTACCCCTCAAAGCCATTGGTGGGAAATGAAGAAATTCCGCCCGTCAACAAAAGCGAGCGCTATTGGCCATGATATTATGGGCGTTCTTTCCTAGTACTCTATTGGGCAAAGAGGTGTGTCAATCACACGGGTTATGTCAGCCCATCGACCTAGGGACCATACTTTCCGGCCCCGGCCTTGGTTTCCCCATTTGTCAAATGATCTGGTTAAACGAGATGACCTCTAAGGGCCTTTCTAGCTTAGGAAACGCAGCATGGTGGCTTGGAGTCAAGAGGAGCTGGATTCAAATCCTGGAACTGCGCAGTTTGCTCTACTTCTCTGAACCTCCCTTTCCTAATCTGTAAAATGGGCACAACTGGGTTCCAGACCTCCCCCCCAGACACACACATATGCCGGCTCTGGGCAAAGCCACTTCCCCTGCCTGGGTCACGTGCTCGCTCTGTAAATGTCAGTTACTGTTATAACACTCCAAGCTCAGAGGTCCCTTGGGCTCCAAACCTGTTACCGTGGGCACCGACCCTCCTCTCTGTAAGGTCCAAGGCCCCGCCTTCCAGTGGGGAGAGGCCAGGTATCTATGGCTAGCCTGCAGAGGGTGTTGTGGAGCGGGTCCTGGACCCAGGAGGACCTGGGCTGTGGAGTAGAGGGGAAATAATAACATGGATGTTATTAGGCTCCGAGGTCTGGAGCTGGACCGGACCTGGGAGGCCCCTCTTCCTAGATCAGGACTAGGCTGAAGGATGTGTGTTTCACACTTGGAGTCAGGAGGACCACCACTCTGGGCAAGCCACTTCTTGTCACTCATCCTCGGTTTCCCTATTTGTAAAATGAGAATAAAAGCCCTTTCCTTACAGGGTTGTTGTGAGAATCAAATGAGATTAAAAAACAAAGTCCTGCAGTCCAGAGAGTCCAGACTTTTTTTTATGGTAATTTTTATTATTTTTTTGTTTTCAACATTTACTTCCACAAAATTTTGAGTTCCAAATTTTTACCCCATCTCGCCCCTCCCCCCACCCCAAGATGGCATGCATTCTGAATACCCCTTCCCCTAGTCTGCCTTCCCTTCTATCTCTCCCCCCCTTGTCTTATCCCCTTTCCCCTTCTATTTTCCTGTAGGGCAGGATAGATTCCTGTACCCCATTTCCTGTATTTCTTATTTCCCTGTTGCATGTGAAAACATTTTTTTTAAAACATGTGTTTTTAAAACTTTGGGTTTCAAATTTTCTCCCTTCCTCTCTCCCCACCCACCCTCACTGATAAGGTAAGCAACTAAATATAGGTTATATATGTGCAGTTATGCAAAACACTTCCATAGTAGACATGCTGTGAAAAACTATTTCCCTTAATCCTATCCCACCCCCCCATTTATTCTATTCTTTCTTTTGACCCTGACCCTCCTCAGAAGTACTTGCTTCTGATTACCCCCTTTCCCAATCTGCCCTCCTCTCTATCCTTCCCCTACTCTCTTGTCCCCTTCCCCCCCCCCATTTTCCTGTAGGGTAAGACAGATTTCCATACCCAATTGAGTGTGAATGTTATTCCCTCCTTAAGTCAAATTCTATGCGAATCAGATTCACTCATTCCCTCTCACCTTCCCCTGTTTCCCCTCCACTGTAAGAGCCTTTTCTTTTCTTTTTTTCTTGTGAGATAATTTACCCCATTCTACTTCTCCCTTTCTCCTTCTCAGAGTATAATCCTTTCTCACCCCTTAATTTTATTCTCCAGATATGACCCCTTCATTTTCAACTCACACTGTGCCTTCTATATCTATCTATATCTATATATATACATACATATAATTTTTTCCCCTCCAACTACCCTAATACTGACAAAGGTCTCATGAGTTACAAATATCATCTTTCCATGCAGGAATGTAAACAGTTCAACCATAATAAGTCTCTTATGATTTTTTCTTTCCTGTTTACCTCTTCATGTTCCACTTGAGTCTTGTATTTGAAAATCAAATTTTCTATTTAGCTCCGGTCTTTTCATCAAGAATGCTTGAAAGTCCTCTATTTCACTGAATGGCCACTTTTCCCCTTGCAGGATTATACTCAGTTTTGCTGGGTAGGTGATTCCTGGTTGTAATCCTATCTCCTTTGCCCTCTGGAATATTATATTCCATGCCCTGTGGTCCCTTAATGTAGAAGCAGCTAAATCTTGTGTTATCCTGATTGTGTTCCCACAATACTTGAATTGTTTCTTTCTGGCTGCTTGTAATATTTTCTCCTTGACCTGGGAGCTCTGGAATTTGGCTACAATATTCCTAGGAGTTTTCCTTTGGGGATCTCTTTCAGGAGGAGATCGATGGATTCTTTCAATTTCTATTTTGCCCTCTGGTTCTAAAATATCAGGGCAGTTTTCCTGGATAATTTCTTGAAAGATGATGTCTAGGCTCTTTTTTTGATCATGGCTTTCAGATAGTCCAATAATTTTTAAATTCTCTCTTCTGGATCTATTTTCCAGGTCAGTTGTTTTTCCAATGAAATATTTCACATTGTTTTCTAATTTTTCATTCTTTTGGATTTGTTTTACAGTGTCTTGCTTTCTCATAAAGTCACTAGCTTCCAATTGCTCTATTCTAATTTTTAAGGAAGTATTTTCTTCAGTAATCTTTTGGACTTCCTTTTCCTTTTGGCCAATTTTGCTTTTTAGCGCATTCTTCTCCTCATTGGCTTTTTGGACCTCTTTTGCCATTTGGGTTAGGCTATTTTTTAAGGTGTTATTTTCTTCAGTATTTTTTTGGGTCTCCTTTAGCAAGCTGTTGACTTGTTTTTCATGATTTTCTTGCAAAACTCTCAGTTTTTCCTCTACTTCTCTCACTTGCTTCTCAAAATCCCTTTTGAGCTCTTCCAAGGCCTGGGACTGATTCATATTCTTCTTGGAGGCTTTGGATGTAGGAGCTTTGGCTTTGTTGTCTTCTTCTGGTTGTATGTTTTGATCTTCTTTGTCACCAAAGTAAGATAATGTAGTCTGACTCTTTTTGCACTGCTTGCTCATGATCCCAGCCAATTACTTGAGTTTTAAATGCTTTGTTAAGGTAAAAGGCTGCTTCCAGTGTGGAGAACGTACTGTCCCAAGCTTCAGGGGTTTGTACAGCTGTTTTCAGAGATACTTCTAGGGACCTGTAAATTTTCAGTTCTTCCAAGGTGCTATGATAAGAGGCAAGGTATTTCTTTTCTACCGCCACAACAAGCTCCACCATGCCAGCACTCCTCTTTGCCCCAGGATGCCCCTCAGAACTGTGACCCAGATCCAAGCACTGGTAAAGCAAGAGATTCCTGTCTCAGGCCTGGCAAAGAGATCCCTGCAATCCCCCTCTGATCAGCCACTGGATTCCCCCTCAGTCTGTGGGCTGGAAGCTCAAGAGGCAGCCGTGGCCCTGGGGGTGGCTGAGACCTAGCTTCTTCTCTCACCGCAGTCACAGACTTTTCCCACTGACCTTCTAAGTTGTCTTTGGCGTTCAGGGGTTGAGAAGTCTGGAAACCGCCACAGCTGCCTGCGATTCAGTCCTCTGAGGTCTGCTCCAGGTTCACTGTGGCCTGAGTGCCCACGCCAAACTGCGCTCCTCTCCCCACCTGGTGCGATACGCCTTTCCGATCAGCCATCCAGGTTGTCTTGGGCTGGAGATTTGTTTCACTCTGTTTTTTTGTGGGTTCTGCTGCTTTAGAATTTGTTTAGAGCCATTTTTTATAGGTATTTGGAGGGGTTTGGGGAGAGAGCTCAAGCAAGTCACTGCTTTCCCTCCGCCATCTTGGCTCCGCCCCCATCACTTTCCTCCGACTCCAGACTTGTGAGGCCTGAGGTAATAGCACTGTAAGTCCTTGCCAGGAGGCCTAGTGGGCACAGCGACAGCCTCCAGAGGAAGGCATAGCCCTCTCCACCATCCTGTGAGCCGACCCCTACAAATGCAAAGGCACCCCAACCAGAGACTCACAGTCGGGCCTGAAGTGCCCACCCAGTCACACTTAAAGCTCTCTGATGATGAGAGACTCACTACCTTCCCAGCTAGCCTCCTAGGTCTAATCGAAGCTGAACTAGCAGTGAGTGGCTGGGGCTCTGCCAACACCCAGGGGACGTGATCCCTCCCCCGGAGGACCAGGGAAGACCATCCCCCAGGGTTCTGGCTGGGAAGCCTCTCTCCCTGTCACCTTCCTACCAGGGAGGAACAGGGAACCAAAGGCACCAAAGGGGGTCAGCCACCTAAGCTAGAACCCTCCTGGTCCCCATTGCTGTCCCCTCTCTGTGGACCCCAAGGACTGTGATGTATCTATAAAATCTCTGCGTGTCAGAGTCAGAAGACCTGAACTGAGCTCCTAGCTCTGCTACTT